CACCAGGTGAGTGTAGCTCTGTGATAGATGGCCCCTTACACCCAGAATCAAAGCAATATTTGGGTTACTCTGCTCTTTAGGTCTCATCCAAAGACCATACTTGTAGCTGATCCTATAATAAACTATATGAAGCTTTATTAAGCAGGAAAAGAACATTGGAGAGTTATTTACAAGGCAAAAGCAAGGGAACATAGACACACAAATAAGTTACAAGCTCAAGTTTCAAAAGGTAATATAGGCTTCTATCATCAGCAAGCTGTAATTGTCCTTTAGGGCTAACCCAGGCTAAGTTGCTGGGGAGCTCTTGCTTATGCCTAGAAACCCCTGCCCTCCAAGCAGCATAGAGGTGCTAGGTCCTTTGGCTTGGGATTTTTTATCCCCCTCCTGCCATGTGCTCTGAGTTTTTAAAATGATGGTGCCATGCCCCCTGTTATGATGCCCCTGGGACCAGGGGTGCTGGAACAGTTTGTATAGCAGGGGTGCTGAGAGCCATTGAAACAAACTGTAAACCCCGTGTATAATGGAAACCACTTCATGCCAGGGGATGTTGCAGCACCCCCAGCACTCTGAGTTCCAGCACCTATGCCTGGGATAGGGTGACCAGATGCCCAATTTTTATAGGGACAGTCCCAATATTTGGGGCTTTGTCTTCTATAGGCTCCTATTACCCCCCCACCCCGTCCTGATTTTTCACACTTGCTGTCTAGTTGCCCTAGCCTGGGACTAGCCACGACAGGGAGCCAGAGATACCCATGCTTCCACAGTGGAACACCGTTTTTAACTCAATAAGCCTCACAAACCCTCGATCCTGGGAGTCAGGGAAGGATCAGGATCCCTATTTGTCAGATAAGGAAGCTGACACACATTGCTCATGGCATTCCAGCACCAGAGCTGAGCTCCGCACAGGGCCCCAGAAGGCTGGGCCTCCTTTGTGCCTTGCCTGTCATGAGCCAGCTGTGGGCTTCATAGAATATCAGGGTTGGAAGGGATCTCAGGAGGTCCTCCCGTCCAACCCCCTGCCTAGGGTCCATATGACTGTTCCAACAGCTTGGAATAACTAGAGGGCGGTTGCACTCTAGTCACACCCCCATTTTTCCGCTATGCCATCAGGGAAAGCTCCTTACACTGGGGGAATTCCCTAGGGCCTGGATCCATCAGCATAGTGATCCCTTATGCTAGTAAACCCACAGCACAAGGATGAACCAGTGAAGTTAAATGCCCTGTCTAAGATCTCATGGTGAGTGTGGCAGAAGTTGGAATAGAATCCACGAGTCTGTAGCCACTACTCTTGCTACACCTAAAATTCCTAGGAGCATAGGTTTGCCAGCCACCTTTGGGAGTTTGCTCCACTAGTGCTAGCTTGTGAGTAGACTTGGCAGAATTCAACATCAATTTTTTCAGTAATTTCAACCAATATTGCTTCTCAGCCTGCTGGCTAAAATCAAGTGTATCCATTTTGATGGATAATATCAACATTTTGGACTATAAGGTGGATAGAAAGCTGGCTAGATTGTCGGGCTCAATGGGTAGTGATCAATGGCTCCATGTCTAGTTGGCAGCTGGTATCTAGTGGAGTGCCCCAAGGGTTGGTCCTGGGGCTGGTTTTGTTCAATATCTTCATTAATGATCTGGAGGATGGTGTGGATTGCACCCTCAGCAAGTTTGCAGATGACACTAAACTGGGAGGAGAGAGAGATACGCTGGAGGGGAGGGATAGGATACAGAGGGACCTAGACAAATTGGAGGATTGGGCCAAAAGAAATCTGAGGTTCAACAAGGACAAGTGCAGAGTCCTGCACTTAGGACAGAAGAATCCCATGCACCGCTACAGACTAGGGACTGACTGGCTCGGCAGCAGTTGTGCAGAAAAGGACCTAGGGGTTACAGTGGATGAGAAGCTGGATATGACTCAACAGTGTGCCCTTGTTGCCAAGAAGGGCAATGGCATTTTGGGATGTATAAGTAGGGGCATTGCCAGCAGATCGAGGGACGTAACCGTTCCCCTCTATTTGACATTGGTGAGGCCTCCTCTGGAGTATTGTGTCCAGTTCTGGGCCCCACACTATAAGAAGGATGTGGAAAAATTGGAAAACGTCCAGCAGAGGGCAACAAAAATGATTAGGGGACTGGAACACATGACTTATGAGGAGAGGCTGAGGGAACTGGGATTGTTTAGTCTGCAGAAGAGAAGAATGAGGGGGGATTTGATAGCTGCTTTCAACTATCTGAAAGGTGGTGCCAAAGAGGATGGATCTAGGCTGTTTTCAGTGGTAGCAGATGACAGGACAAGGAGTAATGGTCTCAAGTTGCAGTGGGGGAGGTTTAGGTTGGATATTGGGGAAACACTGGAATGTGTTACCTAGGGAGGTGGTGGAATCTCCTTCCTTACAAAGAAAAGGAGTACTTGTGGCACCTTAGACTAACCAATTTATTTGAGCATAAGCTTTCGAGAGCTCACTTCATCTGTAGCTCACAAAAGCTTATGCTCAAATAAATTAGTTAGTCTCTAAAGTGCTACAAGTACTCCTTTTCTTTTTGCGACTACAGACTAACACGGCTGCTACTCTGGAACCTCTCCTTCCTTAGAAGTTTTTAACGTCAGACTTGACAAAGCCCTGGCTGGGATGATTTAATTGGGGATTGGCCCTGCTTTGAGAAGGGGGTTGGACTAGATGACCTCCTGAGGTCCCTTCCAACCCTGATATTCTATGATTTATTTATAAGAATTTATTTTTAAATTTTGTCTATTTACGTTTTCTTGGTTATGCAAAATTATGGATTTTCAGCATATTTTTCAATTTTTGATCCATCAAAATTTTTACAGTTCCAGGAAATTCTGGATGGGGCAGCTGAGACAATAACATTCTGAATTTCACCATCTCTTGCCATTAAATAATTAAAGCTCTGACAGTTAAAGGATCAATTGTCAATATCACATGTCAAAATAGACAAAGTATCCTTCATTCAAGTTCTAAGGCAGCAGTTTTCTTCTTTTGCCTATCTGCCAGTTTTGATTATTACTGATGGGGATGTTTTTCCATGGGTTTGTGTGTACACGGTGAAATTGACGTTTACCAATTAAAAAATCAAATCCTTCCAAGGCTACATTTAAACCATGTTTTCACTTTGCCATGCAACATCATAGTGTCTTGCATAGCTGTCGTCCTGGTGTGATGCAGATGTGACAATGACACATAGGATAGCACAATCAGCCTGCTGTGGTGGGTGCAAACATGACCATGCACAGATCTGTGAGGCCTGCCACACCATGGGCAGTTGTGCTGGAACTAGGGATGCTGGGGATGCTCATGCACCCCCAAGTTGAAGTAGTAATAACAAACACCAAATACATGGTTTCCATCATCAACACCCCTGTGATGTTGCATAATGCTTTATGGAAATATGTTTATGAATGTATATGACATAACTGGAATATGTTTTATGCTACATATGCCATGTAACATCTCTGTAAAGATTATGATCTACTGAATCTATTTACCAGCAGGAGAGTGGTGTGGGGGAGGTATTTTTTCACGCTTTGTGTGTATAAAAAGATCTTCTACACTTGCCACAGTATGCATCCGATGAAGTGAACTGTAGCTCACGAAAGCTTATGCTCAAATAAATGGGTTAGTCTCTAAGGTGCCACAAGTACTCCTTTTCTATTTATCCTATTTGTATGCATGTATCACTTTTTTTTAATTGAAAGTTATGAAAATTGGCTATGTACTTGTTTAAGTAGCCTCAGTGAAGCAGTTGGTCAGCTTCCTGAGAAAAGACTATTCTCAGTAAGTGCCCAATCAAAAAACACTTAAGCCAACAATGAACTTGGAGATGCCAATCCACATCTGAGCTTTCCCAGAAATATTGCCTGGTTGGTAAGGAACTCAGTCATGCATGGACATGTGACTTGCCCATGTGACTCCAACTCCATCTTTGAGCTGAATTCTGGATAGGAGAGAGGAGGGGGTCTCCACCCACAAGAGAGACTATTTAAGCCCCTTGGAGACCCCTCCATTTTGTCTTCAGGTGGCTCAAGAGAGCCTCCTAACCCCTAAAGTTTACCTGAAAGATTGGATCAAAGGACAGTAATCACAGGGGTGGGAGTGATTGCTGGACCCAGACTAGAAGAAGTCTAGTCTGTAAAAGAAGCTTACTGGAACATCTGAGGGTGAAATTTCATCTGTAATCACTTCTACTGTTTTCAGAGTAACAGCCGTGTTAGTCTGTAGTCGCAAAAAGAAAAGGAGGACTTGTGGCACCTTAGAGACTAACCAATTTATTTGAGCATGAGCTTTCGTGAGCTACAGCTCACTTCATCAGATGCATTCAGTGGAAACTGCAGCAGACTTTATATACGTTATCTATTATAGAACATCTTGGTGTTATAATATATAACATGATATAGTCAGTGAAGCCTGCAGCTCGTGGGGGCCGTGGGCCAGACCTGGGTCGGGGTCTGCAGCAGGCTCGCGGGTCTGGCTCAGACGGGCAAGGTTCTGGAGTCCCAGGCTAGCAGGGAAGGGGGTTAGAAGGCGTCTCCGCACATGGGTGAGCAGGTCCCCAGGGGTTTCCTGTGATCCGACCTGTCCCCCCCCCCCCAGGACAGTTGTTCCCGCCCCCTGCCCCGCCCACGTGGCGCTGCGGCGACGTGTCCTGCCGCTTCACTGTCACGGACGGCACCGCAGGGCTGAGCAGGGTTAGGCCCACCACTAGGGGGAGCCAGAGCCCGTGCTTCGCCTTCCCGCCAGGGGCCTGCCGCGCTCCGCTGTCTCTCAATCAATCCTGCTGGGAAGGCGGGACCCTAGGGGAACCAAGGGCTAGCGCAGGGCAGCGCCAAGAACCAGTCAACGTGTAGATAGCTCCGCCGTCGAGGAGGGCGGAAGGTCCTATTGGCTGCGATGCCCCTCCAGGAGGCGGGAGGAAGGGCTCTGTCCCGCTGCTGGCCAATGGCGGAGAGCGGTGGGGTTCGGGTGTGCCCGCTGAGGCGAGCGGCGCTGTGTGAGGCAGGTAGCGCGGGTTGCTGCCCGGCTCGGCTTCTCGCCGCCCCCGCCGCCGCCCCCCGGGAGGGCCTGATCCCGCAGCGGCCGCCGGAGCTGGGAGGCCGCCTGCGCCGCGGGCCGGGGCCCCGACTTCCCCAGGCCCGGTCCCCTTCCGCCGCCCCGTCCCGGGCCCGGGCCCCTTCCGCCGGCCGCCCAGCTCTCGGGGCAGCCGCGCTGGGCTGAGCTGAGGCCCGGAGTCAGGCTTATGCGACGTCCCTGCCCCCGCTCGCCTCGCGCTGCCCCCCGCTGCCGGCCGCGGGGGCTGGCGGACCTGCTCGGGCCTTGTGTTGCGGCCGGCCCCGGCTCGGCCCCCCGGCTCGCCCGACTGGCCCGCTGAGCCTGCCGTAGGGGCCTGGGGCTGCTGGGCAGCGCGGGGGGGGGGGTCCTGCCCGGGGGGCCGAACTCCCCAGCGCCTCGCCATGGCCGGCGCCATCGCCTCTCGGATGAGCTTCAGCTCCCTGAAGAGGAAACAGCCCAAAACCTTCACCGTGCGGATTGTGACCATGGACGCCGAGATGGAGTTCAGCTGCGAGGTACCCGCCCGCCGCGAGCCGGGGGCAGCGGGGTTTACGCCGCGCCTCTCGCTCCCGGTCCCCGCCTGCCGCGAGCGGGATCCCTGGGCTGGCGCCGGGAGCCCGCTGCTGGGTGGAGCGTGGCAGCGGCTGGGCAGCGCACGGCACCCCCGTGCCACGCCATGGTTTGGGGCAGGCCCTGGAGATGAACGCCGTGACAATTTGACTGCAGGGGGCATGGAGGGAGGCAAAACGTAGCTACCCAAGGTGGAGTTTGATCAGGATGCCGGGCTAGCACACCCCTGTGAAAAGCTGTATGTGAACTTTATTGAACAGAAAGGGGCTTGATATCACCTAAACCATAGTACTTCCAGCACCACAAACGGCCAGTTGCATCCTGTTGGGGCTCAGGCTTATTGGTAAATCACAGAAGAGTGCTCCCCACTGAATCCACTTTCTGGTGCCCCCCCCCCCCGATTTTCCTGTCTACCAGTGGTGGGGAGCTGCTAGCTAAATACAGATCCTCCAGAGTTTCTCTGGAGAGATGAACGTCTTTGTAGCCAAAGATGGAACATGCAGGGTTTCAATTTGAATGTCCTTGGATCTACTCACAGCTACCTGCATCTGTTTTGTTTAGGAAGCCCTGTTCCTAAATGGTGCTGTTTTTCATTTGCCTGCATTGTACAGGCACTGGAAGACTACAGGGAGGCCCTCTAGGAATCCATTGTTAATCTAGCATCGAAGTGTAATGTCTTACGCAAAAGATGTGTTGGGATAGAAACTGTATGCATATAAGTATCAGAGGGGTAGCCTTGTTAGTCTGGATCTGTAAAAGCACTTGTGTCTCAGTGCAGGAGGTTCCTTGGTGCTGTGCTGTGATATAACAGAGGGGATGCAGTCATGTCTCAGTGCCCGCGGTTCTGGGTGCTGTGATATAGCTGAGGGGATGCAGTCGTGTCTTGTGGGAGGTTCCAGGGTCCTGCACTATAATATAGAAGAGGGGAAGTCATGTCTTCGCACAGAAGGTTCCTCGATGCAATTCTCTTGTGAGTCCCAACCGCTACTGGAATATGGTACAACACATCCTTGAGCAAAGGAATTGGGGGTGGGGTCAAAAATAATTCCTCTGATTATATTGCAGAACAACAGTCGGCTCTGGGTCGCCCCCTATTATGCTGTTAAATTAGGTACTTTACTCTCCTCTAGCCCCTAAAGAAGAATAGCTTGCAGGTACTCTGTGTAGAATAGGTAAGCAGAAAGCGGTGAACAAATAACTCTTTAATTTACATGAGGTTTTTGGATGACTTGAAATATCTTTTGGGGACTCTAAAGGATAAACTTTGAATGAGTGCTCTAGTATCCATATGCATTTGGCCTTTCATCCCCTTCATTATCACCCCAGCAACATCACTACTTTAGCCTGCTCCAGAAGTGTTTTCTTTGATATGAAAATGCAAATGATTATCTGCTTTGATCTTACTAGCTAGCAGACAGCAAATTCCAGAGATCACATTTTGCAAAGCCCATAGCAGACCTAGTGATTTGCCATTGTAAGTTGGCACTACAGCTGTGTGGTGCTAGCAGTCTGCATGATGCAGTTCCAAACAGAAGCAGGATGAAGTATCCAAGGGGGTGCGGGGAGGGCAGTAATAGAGACCAACCATAGGCTGTGAGATTTCTTGAGTGTCTTCACAACATGATGGGGCCCTGATCCTGAGTCAGGCCTGTGGGCATTAGTGCAGTATAAATAACCTGTTCCTAGGCAAAACATGTCACTAAACTGGAGTCCTAAGAATGTACAGTATCCAGGCACTTGCTATCTGGAGAATGATGCAAACAATGTGAGCGAGGATTTGGAGGGGTCCATCAGATTATTCCAGAGGCATTGCTCTGATGAGAAGTCTCCACCCCTCAACTACTGGAAGGGGTGGCTGCTGAGATTCCTGGCAGGTGGTTGTCTCCAGACTTGGTCTGGGCCTCCATCTGTTTTATTAGTTGACCGCTAGAAGGTGTATAATTACACTTGAAGTTTCCTCATCATACTCACGTCAGGTTGTTGCTGTGTACTGGGGCCACTCTGCTGCTCGCTCTCCCTAGGTACTCCTAGCACACTGTCTCTAGTTTGAGTGCTTTTCTTATTCTTCGAGGCAATTATAATTAAGGCTATGATTTAGTCATGGAATCTGTGACTTCCAGCAACCTCCATGACTTCAGCCTGCGATGGTTGGGAGCTGCAGGGTCCCCCGCTGCCCCCAGAGCTCCAAGCTGCCACAGGCAGGAGGGTACCCCACAACTCCTGGCTGCCATGGGGTACCCCTGAACCCCCGAGCTCCCAGTTGGTGGCGGGGGAACCCCTGAGCTCCCTGCTGCCACGGGAGGTGGGGAACCCTGAGCTCCTAGCTGCCATGGGCCCTCAGAGCTGCAGACGGCAGAGGTATCCCACAGACCCCAGTTGCTGCAGGCAGCTGCTAGCCCCTGTGCAGCTGCCTGCTTCAGGTGGTATGGGGACCCACAGATCCCTATTTTTTCATGGATCGTTTTAGTAAAAGTCGTGGACAGGTCATGGCTTCTGTGAATTTTTCCTTTTTGTCCATGACTTTTACTAAAAATATCTGTGACAAAATCTTAGCCTTAATTATAATATACTGCCTTGGGGGACGCTATCTGCGATCCTCCTCAGTCTGAGCCATTGAGAGAGGAAAGACACTGCTTAAAAACTCTTGGGTTTTTTTTTTTTAAACCCCATCTCCTGTTTAACTCAAATATTGATAAACAGTAAGAAAGAAAAAAAACTGTTAAAAATTCAACTCTTCTCCTCCTTCAGTTAAGGTCTGAGAAAGCTTTGTGTGTTCTCTGGTCCTCCACGAAGACCTTCAGAAAAGGGAAGAGAAGACTTGAGATTACTTATTTCTAAGAAATAGTAGCTCCCCTAGTTAAAAAAGGCCACTTTTCAGGCCTTTATGTCCACCCTGAACAGAGAGGGTATAAACCCATTTTTTCCCCCTATTTGTGAGTCACCTTTAAGAATAAGGGAAGTTAATATCCAACACCCGTGCCTTGGCCTAATTTAACTACAAACAATTGAATGGTTTCTCTCCATATGTTCTTAAATAAATATATCATGTTTCAGCTAAGATCAAGCATGGAAAACTTGAGCCCAAAACGAGAGTTTTTCAGTAAGGGGGGACAAAAAGAGGTGGGTTTTTTGTGGTTTTTTTTGTTTGTTTCAGAACAGTCTTTTAATAGGCTTCATAAAGCCAGAGAATTGAATGCAGGAATTCCTTCACCACTTCAAATACAATACCAATGGAATGGGTTACCTAGGGAGGTGGTGGAATCTCCATCCTTAGAGGTTTTTAAGGCTTGGCTTGACAAAGCCTTGGCTGGGATGATTTAGTTGGTGTTGGCCCTGCTTTGAGCAGGGGATTGGACTAGATGACCTCCTGAGGTCTTTTCCAACCCTAATATTTTATGATTCACATTTCTTGCAGTAAAAAAAGGACAATATAAACAAACATTTTCAAGAACCTATGGTGGAAAGTTTTAGCAAGTCTTAGTTCTGAGGGTTGTTACATTATACAGTGAAAATACCTTTTTTTCTGAAGATTGAATTTACGAGTCACTTGTGTCTCTTTAGATATACCAAAGGCTGCCACGCATTTCGCCCCTCCCTTGCTATACACTAAAGGAACAGAACTTTGTAACTCGTTTATTGTGCACTTGCTACTGAGCAACCAGTGAATTGGCTTTTGTAGAGCTTGAGTTATGCTGGCTGGTGTAGTTTAAATCTAACACATCTAACAGCTCCTAGAATGACTGATCAAATGCTGCCTGTGACAATGATAAACAAAGCCTTCAAATCTTGTATGGCTTATTGGGCCTCTCTATTAGCTGAAAATTGTTCAAGAAGATGTGTAGGCTAAAGGGATTTTATTACGGCTTTCTCTTCCTTTTCCATCTGTTGTTTCTTCAGTATTTCCATTTTCTAGCTCATAATAGTTCATAAACACTGTTTTTTCTTTGTGGTTGATATTTAACCCTCATGAGCCTAACTCATTATATTGCTGTGTTTTCTAATGATCCGGTGGACTTCTAAATTGGGCATGGGATAATAGGAAGCTGACGTTACCCTCCATTTAAAAAACCGCAACCTTTTTACAAGTAGCTTAAAAAAAGAGTCATGGGTCTGCTGTAACTCCGTTGACTCCAACGCAATTATGCCAGGGTGAGTTTGGCCTTGTATGTTTTTGACATTTTACAAATGATAAAAACATACATTTAATGGCCCTGGAGAATGAAATCCACAATCCCCAGAAGAGGTAGAGCTAATAGACCATAGCAATGCAAACTTTCCTCAACTGTATTTCTCAAACTGGCTTTGGAGGACACCTCTTTCCCCTCTGGGACAAAGAGGGAGTTGTCTTCTTGTCTCCCTGTAAAAATGTCAGTTAATAACATATGTAGTGGCTTTCTATAGTGTGAAAACTTGTCACTTCCTATAGGCTGTGGATGATGATAACAATGTGGGTTGGATTTGAACTGGCAGGTCTTGCGTCTTCAAATGACTCCTCAGGGACGCTTCTGCTAAAGAAGCCCTATTTTTATCATTGCAGATAAACTTCCACAGCCTCTCCTGAAACCACACAGAGAAACTGACAAGAATTGTCAGTGCTGTTATAAAAGCAGGACCTGTGGGAACTTGGCTGCAATCCTTTGTTGCTGTTGTTGGGGAGCCCTATCTTTGTGGGGAAGGAACAAGTGAAGGGAGGTGACTTGTGGCCTGGTGGCACAAGAGCTTGCGTTCCACCATCATCCCTTGTCTTCCAGGCTAGAAGCAATGTTGGAGGGATTATGTTTAGCTGCAGGGGATTTGATAACTACCCACCAGCCAAAAAGCAATCTGCTGCAATTTGAGTCTTTGATGTGGATCCTGGAATGAACCCTGAAAAGATTGTTGGGACATGGGGTGAAAGAATGATATGCAGCTACTAACTGCCACATGGTTGTCCTGGAAACCCATC